AGGACCATCCAAGGCTGGAGGCAGTAGTGTGTGTGTGTACACACCCAGCACTCCTGTGGCGAGGTGGGATGTGAGGTAGAGACAGGAATCCCAGCTGGTCTGGCACGTGATTGGGGAACAAGAGACCCCATGACAGAAGGTGGGGACCAGTACTTAAAGTTGCTGTCTGACCTACATGTGTGTGCTGTGGTGTGTGCCCTCGAATGCAGGAACATAGATGGAGATTAAAAAAAAAAAGTATTTAGCACAGTGATTGGCAAGAATGCAAGCACAGGGCTTGAGAGTAACTAATACCACCTGTCCCTCTGTTACAGTCATTCTGGACACTGTCACAATGCCACTAGCTCATTCTCTCCAGTACGAGAGAATGCTACTTGCTTTTCTCTAACAGGGTCCAGGTGTACCTCTTTTATTCTCTTAGTTCCTAATGCAACTCTGAGCTTGTATCAGCTTACTGTGGAAGGCAGCTCCCTACTGGTGCTCAGTAATTACACTGTTAGTTTTGTTTTGGTTTTGATATTTTAAGAGAGGGTCTTGGCTAGCCTGAAACTATGTAGACTAGGCTGGCCTGGAACTCATAGAGATCTGCCTGCCTTTGTCTCTTAAGTGCTGGAGCTAAAGGGTGTGTCACCACATCTGGTTCAGTAACATTGAGCCACATCAGAGAGAGAGCTATCTGTTCTGTCTTACCCCCTTGGAAAGAATACTTCAGCTTAACTGCTCAGACTGAACAACAGAGAACAAACAGGTTCTCTGTTTTCTGACTTCTCTTTGTCTGCTGTTGTGTTTGTTACCCAAATTTGTAAGGTCAGGGCCTGGGACCTGGCAGTCCCAACAAGCTAGGCTCTGTCACTTGTCCCCAGTAAGCCAATTAAAGAGAATAGTAATATCGATAAGCAGAGAAAGGAGATGTATTTGCCGTGGCCCCCTTGGGGAGAGGAACAAATAAAGAGGCCCAGTCACCTTCCAAGTTCATGTTAGGGATATTGACACAAGGTTAGGTTTAAACAGAGCTTGAGTGGAATCCATACTTACACAATCCTGGGTCTAACTATAGTTGTGTTCATCATTGACCCATCCTTCTTCCTTCCCCAAGCATGAGTGTCCTGGGGAAATTTAATTCTTGGGGTCTATTGCCAGTAGTCTGGCACAAGTACCTTGAAAATATCTTCTGTCAGGATGTTACAGTGGCTCTAATGTATATTGTTCCTTTGTTGTTTGTTGTTTTCCTGGCTTGCTTAAGTACATCCCTTAGTAATTTCCTGAGACAGAAAATGTAAGAGATACCCTTTAGGTTCTTGCTTCTCTGAAAATGCCTTAGTTTACCATCATAATTGATTAGTGGTCTAGGAATGGAATTCTCTGTTGGAAATAATTTTACTGGAGAATTTTGAAGGAATTACCTGTTAACTTTCAGTATTGCTTTGAAAGTCTGATGTTCATTTTATTCCTAATCATTTGTAAACCTGTCACTACTGTCCTACACTGGCTCCAAACTCACTCTTTTTTTTTTTTTTTTTTTTTTTTTTTAATTTTAGATTTTACCACATCGTTTGATTACTTGGGTGTTTGTGCATGCATAGTTCAGAGGAGAACTTGAAGTTACCATTTCTCTCCTGGGATGGAACTCAGGACCTCGGGCTTGTCAGGAGGTGCCTTTAACCCACTGAACCATCTCAGCTGTCCCTAGATTATTCTGTCTTTGATTTTCTGAAATCCAAGTTAGGCTTCATGAACTAATCTCTTTGTTGTTCAGTTCTGTTTCTCCTTTGTTTTATTGTGAGATTTGCTCAATCATTTTCTTGCAATTCTATTAACTTTACATGTTTTGCCATTTTTAATTTCCACCTCCCTCCCCTTTCTTTCCTCCCCTTTCCTTCCTCTTTTCTTCCCCCTCACCCACAGACTGGCTTTGAACTCTCAGTATTCCTGAGTCAGCCTCCCCAGTGCTGAGATTACAATTATATGCTGTCATAGGCATATGCTTTCCTGTTCCCAGAACAGTCCTCCTCATGTGTGTATATAAAGGGTGGGTTGAGGGTGGGCAGAAGCTGGAGAGCAAGTTGCTCTTCTGGAGGATCAGATTCAGTTCTCAGCACCCACACAGCAGCTCACAACCACGTGCACTCCAGTTCCAGGCCATCCACTACCTTCTTCTGGCCTCCACCTGTACCAGGTGTGCACGAGTCACTCAGACATACATGCAGCAAAACCAATAGTCCTTTTAAAAAGAGCTGGAAGTGGTGGCACACACCTGTAACACCAGCACTCGAGGACAGAGGCTGTTGAATCTCTTGAGTTCAAGGCCACCCTGGTCCACAGAGCAAGTTTCAGGATGGCAAGGACTACATAGAGAAACCCATCTCAAAAACCAAGGAAGGCAGGGAGGGAAGGAACGAGGGAGGGAGGGAGGGAGGACTTTTATCTCATGGATGTGCTATCTCATCTGAGGATGTTAATAGCTGTTGTTTTTACCTTAGTGTTTCCTCCTCTATCACCTGTTTGCTCCGAATGTTCCCTTGTTCTCTTTTCTTTGTTACTTGGTCATCAGCATCATTACTATTCCATGAGTATTTTGCCTGATGTATGTCTGTGAACTACATGTGTGCCTATTATCAGTGGAATCCAGGAACAGAAGCAGATCCCTGCAGCTGGAGCTACAGACAGTTGTGGGCTGCCTCTTGGGCATCAACGCTGTGTCCCCTGAAGAGCAGCCGCTCTGAACCAGTGAGCCATCTTCCAGCCCTGGGGCTTTGCCTTCGTGCTAGAGTTTTGCTTTCAATGTGTGCCATTCCCTCAGTCATTAGAGTGAAGCCTGGAGTGATGGGAAGCTGAGTGGATGGGTTGGCCTTGAAGATGAATGTAGTTTGCTGGGACCCAAGTTGGGCTTTTCAGCTAACTCCAGTCTTCTTAGGAACTGTGAGCCTGACTGCTATCTCCTAGCCTCTGAGCAGGTAGAGGGGGAGTGGTGGAGGTGAAGGGGGGAATGGAGGTGATGGGAGGGAGTGGGGGAGTGGGGGAGGTGGTGGGGGAAGGGGGAGGTGAGGGACTGTGTAGACTTGAGCTCCCTGTGAAGTGATTCACCACTCAGCAGGTGCTCCCCAGCCTCTCAGAACTCTTCCCCAGCAAGCCTTGAGCACTCCCTTCCTGTGCCTGCCCCTGTTGCAGCTCCTTCCTCATAGCAATACCTAGAGTTGTCTGTTATTAGTCTGTTGTACATGAGGGTTAGTTTGGCTTATTGGTTCTTTTATCTCTAGTACTGACATACTGGGTGTTCTGTGTACGTGTCTTGTCCTGGGCTTAGCGATTAATTCATTCAAACACCCATCCTAGAAGCAGAAGTTTCCCCTGAGAGGAAAAATAGCCTGCTCTGTTCCGCCATAGAGCCACAGGAGGGGCACAGAAGTGTCTCACTGGCGGTATTGACTTGTTTGTCAGCCACTAGGGAGGGCAGGTCCCATGTTCAAGTCAGAGGTAGAGACTTGGAATGGATGGGCAGCTACACAGTTCCTAGGAAATGTAGTAATTTCTTAAATGAAAATAAGCAAGTTTTTATTTCAAATAATTTCAGGAAGTATGCAGATGTTTACTGGGTCCAGACTCAGCATTAAAAGGCCCTGAGCCCTTCTTTTCCTCTTTTAACTTGTTTTCTTGAAAACTTTCAAATATATAGTTTTGAAGCAAATTTACTGTTTTAGCTGTAAATATTTCCATCTCTTAGAATTCGTAACACATGATACCCACAGGAAAAATTACTTGATTTTTATTGAGCACAGTTGATACTACTGTAAGCAGTCATTTTGCTTACTTTTGTAGGTGCCTTATAGTTCTTGAAAACATTTGGATCAAGCTTATTTATTTTTTAAAGGTAAAATCTATTAGGCCTTCTTGCATTATATAATGTGTCACTGTAAGACATCTTATTAAGCATGTAATCCATGCTCTTGTAGCGAATGTGTGAGTTATGGCCACTGTGACCACAGTTGAACTTGGTAGCATTCTGTCACACACACACTGGGATCCAAGTCCCAGTCCCACGTTAGTGTGAGTCACCATATATTTACTTTTGCTGTGCTCTGATTTCTTCTCTCTCTCTCTCTCTCTCATCTTCATGTGTATGAGTCTTTTCCTCCATGTTTGTCTACCGCATATGCAATACCCACAGAGGCCAGAAGAGGTCATCAGATCCCCTGGAACTAGGGTCATAGTGGCTGTGAGCCACCATGTGGTGCTGCGAATTGAACTGGGGTCCTCTGGAAGAGCAGCCAGTGCTCTTAACTGCTGAGCCACCTCTCCAGTATTGGCTTTATATTTTTAAAACAACCACCCCTCTAAAAGTCACTATCTTTGGTGCTGGTGTCAGGGCTGCAGAAAGGAGTGTGGGAGGGGAGTGCCTGTGTATTTTCGGCTTCCATCTCTCTCTAGCTAGAATTCTCTGCTATTGATTTGCCCTTTTCACCAAGGTTGCTAAGACTTCTGGAACTTCTTGGCATTCACTGCTCTAGGAAATGCTGAATGCTAACAGATTCCAGTGGGGCAAATGAACCTCCTCCCACATCCTGGGTTTTTCTAACTAGACCCTCAGTGTCCTAAACAAGTTAGGTCAAGGGCTAAGGGATCTCACGGGTATACATGGGTCTTCAGCTTAAACTGAACTGACTTTTGCAAGTTCTTACATGTAGGCCCATTATTAGACATCACAAGCTTTAAACGCTCCAGATGTGGCCAGCTATGCTTTAAAGTTGTCTTAAATCACGTTTTGATTTGTTTTGTGTGCGTATACATGTGCGTGCCGCCTGATTTGTGTTTAGCAGCCAGATGACAGCTCTTAGGAGTTGGTTTTCTGGGACCCAGGGGTGGAACTCATTTTGTCAGTAAGGACATTAACTGGCTGAGCCACCCTGCCAGCCCACACCTATCTTACTGCATTCTGTGTGTTGGTTCTGAGTTAAGTAAGCTTTGTTAGGTCCTAACACTTTTTTCCTTTGTGTTTTCTACAGGACAATGGATTTTCCTGGTCACTTTGAGCAGATCTTTCAACAGCTGAACTACCAGAGACTTCATGGCCAGCTCTGTGACTGTGTCATTGTAGTGGGGAACAGGCATTTTAAAGCCCACCGCTCCGTGCTGGCAGCATGCAGCACGCATTTCCGAGCTCTGTTCTCTGTGGCCGAGGGAGATCAAACCATGAACATGATCCAGCTAGATAGTGAGGTGGTGACAGCAGAAGCCTTTGCTGCACTGATTGACATGATGTATACCTCCACACTCATGCTGGGGGAGAGCAACGTTATGGATGTCTTATTGGCAGCCTCTCACCTGCATCTGAACTCCGTCGTTAAGGCATGTAAACATTACCTGACAACAAGGACGCTGCCCATGTCTCCCCCCAGTGAGCGTGTTCAGGAGCAGAGTGCTCGCATGCAGCGCTCTTTCATGCTGCAGCAGCTGGGACTCAGCATTGTGAGCTCTGCCCTCAGCTCCAGCCAGAGTGGCGAGGAGCCGCCTGCCCCCATGAGCTCATCCATGCGCAACAACCTGGACCAGCGGACACCCTTCCCCATGAGACGCCTTCACAAGCGCAAGCAGTCTGTAGAGGAGCGGGCCCGGCAGCGCCTCCGGTCCTCCATGGATGAATCAGCCATTTCAGATGTTACCCCAGAGAGCGGGCCTTCGGGAGTTCATTCTCGGGAGGAGTTCTTTTCACCAGATTCTCTGAAAATTGTGGATAATCCTAAACCCGATGGGATGGCTGACAACCAGGAAGACGGTGCTATGATGTTTGACCGGCCTTTTGGTGCCCAAGAGGATGCCCAGGTGCCCAGCCAGTCAGATGGCAGTGCTGGCAACATGGCCTCTCGTGCAACTCAGGTCGAGACTAGTTTTGAACAAGAAGCTGTGGCCGAGAAAGGCAGTTTCCAGTGTGAAAACCCTGAGGTTGGCCTTGGGGAAAAGGACCACATGAGAGTGGTGGTGAAGTCGGAGCCCCTGAGCTCTCCTGAGCCGCAGGATGAAGTGAGCGACGTGACCTCCCAGGCAGAGGGCAGTGAGTCTGTGGAAGTGGAGGGGGTGGTGGTGAGCGCCGAGAAGATAGATCTCAGCCCTGAAAGCAGCGACCGGAGCTTCTCAGACCCCCAGTCCAGTACGGACAGGGTCGGGGACATCCACATTTTGGAAGTCACAAATAATCTAGAACATAAGACCTCTTTTAGTATTTCAAATTTTCTCAACAAGAGCAGGGGAAATAACTTCAGCACAAGTCAGAGCACCGATGACAACATCCCAAACACCACCAGCGACTGCCGGCTGGAGGGTGAGGCCCCTTACCTGTTGAGTCCAGAGGCTGGGCCTGCAGGTGGGCCTTCCTCTGCTCCTGGTTCCCATGTAGAGAACCCATTCAGTGAGCCTGCAGACTCCCACTTTGTCCGGCCTATGCAGGAGGTGATGGGCCTGCCCTGTGTGCAGACCTCAGGCTACCAAGGAGAACAATTTGGGATGGACTTTTCCAGGTCTGGCTTGGGCCTCCACTCCTCCTTCTCCAGGGCAATGATGGGCTCTCCAAGAGGAGGCGCCAGTAACTTTCCATACTACCGACGCATAGCTCCCAAAATGCCAGTGGTAACTTCGGTCAGGAGCTCCCAGATCCCTGAAAATTCCTCTAGTTCCCAGCTGATGATGAACGGGGCTGCCTCGTTTGAAAACAGCCACCCTTCCCAGCCTGGCCCTCCGCAGTTGACCAGGGCATCTGCCGATGTCTTGTCAAAGTGCAAGAAGGCCTTATCAGAGCACAATGTCTTAGTTGTGGAGGGCGCTCGCAAGTACGCCTGCAAAATCTGCTGTAAAACCTTTCTGACTTTGACAGACTGCAAGAAGCACATCCGAGTCCACACAGGCGAGAAGCCGTACGCCTGCCTCAAGTGTGGCAAGAGGTTCAGCCAGTCCAGCCACCTGTACAAACACTCGAAGACCACCTGCCTGCGCTGGCAGAGCAGCAACCTCCCCAGCACTTTGCTCTGACCCTCTCTCCTCATGACACAGTACACAGGCCAGTTCTGCACCCAAATTGAAATCACTGTTGGCAGGCAGCTAATGGCACTGGACGTGAGGCCTCAGCTGGCCAGTGGCTCTGCATTTCAGCCAGTGGTTAGCAGAGAACTGTTACATGTAGTACTGACACTGAGAACTAATTCTCAGTACTGACACTACAGCATTTCTGAGCGAGGGATGCAACAACTCCTTCCTTGAGGAGTGCAGTCATAAAGTAGCTTGTCATTGATGTCAAGAGTGTCACATTTAAGTATGGAAGCGCTGAAAACATTTTAACACTATTTTAAAGCCCTGTGAAGCATTTAATTAAATTTCCTACATCATTTGGTGGGAATATGCCATCCCTGTACAGCAATGCAAAAGCAGGTGGTTTGGTGCTGTCTGAACAAAGGCCCTGGAGGACAAGCCTGTCTGTCTCAAATGCTTTAAAGTGTATCCAAGGCCACAGAAAGTACTGTGTCTTCTTTTTTTAGTCTGAGTTGCAGTCATTGACACTGCCCTCTGATGGTGCTGGCACTGGGCCCAGGTGAACACACCCTTGGACTAACAGGTGTATATATATACTTTTGAATCATCTCTGTGGAATAGGTGTTTTTAATAATTTTGTTCTGGTTTTAAAAATAAAGTTGTAAGTGGAGTGTGTACTTGTAGAGAGTAACAGTGAGGTGTTTCTGTACGTGCTGTGTTAGCAGGGTTTTAACCAATGTATTTCCCACGATGTAGTTCTGTTTGAAGTCAGCAGGAAGCTAGTGTCCATCTTTGTTCTGGTGATTTGGAATCCTGTTTTGTGGGTTTTTATGTGCATTTGCCTTTTACTCCATCCAGATGTCCAAGCCAGTCCAGTCTGGCTGGCCTGGCCACCCGCCATCAGCTGCTCTGCTTTGTTATTTCTCACTCCCAAGACCCATAGAACATCTCTCCCAGGCATAACCAGCGGAAGCAACCACAGCATCCATGGTTTTATTACGGTCTGTGCTAGCTTTCCCAAACTATACCTCAGCTGTCAGTGGCATCACTCCTTTAACCAGTACTCAGCATTCAGGCATCTGAAACCTAAACGCGGTAGTGTTCATGGCTCTTGTTTTCCAGGCTTTGAAAGAGTTAGGCAGCCCCCACACAGCATAGAACTTACCAGAAACATCCAAGGCTCTTGGAGAGGCATTAGGTTCTGTGTCCAGGACCTGTGTCCTCCTCCCTCTGCCTTGCTGTCTTGGCTGCTGTCCCTGGTGTGCACCTGGGGGACAGCACAGGTCCACACATGTCTGTAGGCTTATTTATTTCATTCATGGACAAGAACTCTTTTTTTTTTTTTCTCACATACATCTTTTCTTCATTGTGCACAATTCAGAGAAATCCAGTTCTTAAGTGTACAAAACTACATGTTTCTGTATTTCCTAAACAAAATGACTGTGTGTCTTCTCCTAAGCTAGTGTGACCATGAATCTGTGGATAGACCTGTAATGTTCTGAGAGGGCATGGCACCTGAACTGATTCCCAGGGAGGACAGCCCAGATGGAACCCCGGGCCCTCTTCCTGAGCAGGTGTGTGGGAAGCGGGGTCACTTGTGAAATTGTGGTGAGGCTTGTCAGCAGTCTGTTGAGATAGGATGTAGGGACCAGTGGGAGTCGGGGTCAGCATGTAGAACCAGAGATGCCCTGCTGGGTGAGGAGCCAGTGTCACCGGCAGAAAGTAGCAGTCATTCTTCCTTCCTGCCTTAAGGATGTGGTGCTTGGAGTCTGCCCCTCACCTCAGCGTGGATATATACGGACTTTGCTTTTGCGCCCACCTCCCCACTGCTGGATGGACCTGGAATCTCATCTACCTCGCAGTCAGTCTCTACGTGTGAGAAGCAAGCTTGCAGGCCAGCGTCCTCCAACATGCTGTAGCTCTTAAAGATTTCCAAGGCTCCCTGGGAAACTAGACCCAGGGTTGCTGTGAACCTGGAGTTCTACTGGGATTCTAACTGGTACTGGGGACCCGACTTTTGATTTTTAGCCTTAATTATAGCCCGGCATAATCATGTACAATCTTCTGGAGATGGCATCAAGTATAGGGGCACCCTGTCGGTGCTAATGCTGGTCAAAACAGATTTTGAAATAAAAAAAAAATTGTCATATTCATGCCTCTAAATATGTGTTCACCTCTATTCAGGTTGAGGCCGAAACAAAACGGGGAAGTGCTTCTCTGCTGGGTGATCTTCAAATCACGGAGCTCCAATAGGAATGCTCCCGTCCAGCAGTTCCACTGCTTTCCCCGTACCTGCCTGTCTGTGCCTCTGTGAGAGGGCTTGCAGTGCAGTGCTTGTGGCCTGGCCTTGCGGAGGAGTGAAGGGTGGTGTAAAAGGAGCATCTGCTGGGGTGCAGAGGGAACGACAGGTAGACGTGGACACAGATCTTGGAACTGGGACTCCTGCCTTCACTGTGGTTGACCAACAGAGCTGACCTCCCCTCTGTTGTCTGTGTTTTCACTGTGGTCTAGGTGTTGGGTTCCGGTGCTGTTTTTCTCGCTCTGCTTGTCTTTCCTCAGTGAGGGAAAAGGCAGTTTAGGTAAGGGGAATGTGAGAAGCAGAGCCAAGGCAGATTACTAGGTGCCCTGAGTAGGCAAACACTAGAGATGTTCTTTTTGTTACTGCCCCCCAGTCACAGGCCCAGACGCTGTGTCAGAAGGTATTTAATGCTAGAATTACAGGCTTTGGGCTTGGATGTGGCAAGCCCCCAAAGCAGCAAGCCCATTTACCAGTTCCCATGTCCCCCCGAAGATGCAGTAGAGGAGGAGGCTTCCGCCAGGCTCTTTCCTGAGTCCAAAGTCCAGCAAGATGTCTCCAGCCCAGGTCCCTCTGGCTACAGCTTGAGTTCACTGGGCATCGTCTCCCCTCTTAGGCCAGCCAACAAGTTGTTAGCTGCCAGCAAGGACATGGTGTTGCGAGTTTTGTAGGTGGCGCTGCCGATGTGGGGCAGGATCACTGGGGGGAGAAGGAAGCATTGGTCCCAGACCATCGGTCAACAGGACAAAGGTTCTGTCTCAGTACCCATCACTGCACCCTCTGCCTGGCTCTCTTAGACTTAGGACTTAGGTTCCCTATGAACACCATTCCCCCAGATTCAATGGAGCAAACCCTGAGACCCATAACCAAACAAAAGATCTAAACCCCTAAAAATATGGCAGGTAATAGAGAGTCTTGTTGCCTATCTGGACGGTGAAACTGTACCAGCTTAGGAGACTAGCCTAGCAGGTACTACAGTCTGCACCCTTGAGAGTGATGGCACAGGGCTTCTATGCTGAAGTTATTCCATGATAAGATGCTGGGTAACACTGTAGGTGCTCTGGTCCCAGTGCTGAGCAGATGAGAGCTGCCTGCCTTCCAGAGCTGAATAAGGACATGAAATGCGGATAGGGCCAGTTTTCCTGGCTGAGGACCATAACCCTCACATCACAGCCAGGGTTCCTTGCAGGTTGGTGTGGGGATGGGGTCAGGAGGATTGCCAAGGACTGAAATAATGGGAGCCGTCAATGAAGAGGCAGCAAGAACATGTTTGGGCTTCCTCTCCAGAATGCAGAGGGACAGCCATAGCCCTGATGCCTCCCGGTGAGTCTGGAGACAGAAACACCACATTTCTTGAACAGGGAAGAAAGGTAAGTGCTGAGGCCAGGGTCTCAAAATGCTCCCAGGGCCAGAGGCACCAGCATCGTGTCATCAGGAGCTTGTTAAGGGCATAGTCTCCAGCTGCAGTCCAGACCTACAGAAGCCCTTAGGGCAGGACCTGGCAACCAGTGACTCAGTCCCTCCCTCCAGGAGACAAACAGAAAACTAGAGCCATTATACTTGCTATATTGCTGACGAGGCAGCAATGACCAGAAGCATTCAGGGCCCTCAGGGACAAAGGGAGAAGGGAGACTTAAAATGACTAAAGCTGAAGAAAGGTCCGAACTCAGTGGGGCATTGATAACTGGTGAGCCAAATGTTGAAAATCCTAAAGCTGGGACCTCCAGTCACAACGTGAATGAGCTATTGACTGCTAGAAGCTTCCCAACTGGTACTAGTTATAAACACTGGTAGCTACTGGAGTGTGGTCAGTTTTCCTTTAACAAACCCCTTTGCTTCTTGGATCTGTCTCCATGGGGATGGAGACTTAGTTGAGCATCACATTTCTCTAGAGCATCACACCAGTCTCTAATAGCCTACACATTTCCAGTCCCTGGCTATGCCCTCTGGGCTAGCATTGCCTCAGCCAGCTCCATACCCAGGCCTGGACTACTGTCAACACCCCGTAGGGCAGTTGTACATTTGCAGCGGGAACCGCTCTTACCACAGTTCTTCAGGGTCAGCAGTGGGTGGCTCGGAGGCAGCGGTTCCGGAGTGGTCACATCCAGCCCTGCTGCTGCAAGCTGACCACTGGTCAATGCCTGGTACAGGTCATCCTGGTTTACCACGTCTCCCCTGGAAGTGACAGTTGGTCATCTGGAGACCCAGACTCTCCTACCCACGCTACCTTCAGGACTGAACCACCCACGGAATGTATTTTTCCACTCATCACCTGGTGTGGACTTCTAAGGCTGGAAAACATTAGAACACGCTATGGGAGGCTGTGTGTGAATGCTAGTTTTGACTTGAGCCTTACCACTTACTAGTGTGACAGAGCTAATAAACTTTCCTGGGCTCCTGAGGAAACCCTGACTCCCTGAAGTACTGGGGGATGGGAGTACAAACCCTGAAGGTCCCTCTGTAGGCCCCACCCTTTGTAGCAGAGGGGAGTGGGCCTGCTGGGAGCCCCTAGGGACTTGCTCCCAGAATCATACTACTGTGAGCCAAGCCCTGAGCAAGGCTGGGCTGAGCAGGGGACCGGAATGCTGGGCCCTGTGCTCCCTGATCTTCCTCACCCATTTCTCCAAGGCACAGAAATCCAGGTCACAGGGGTAGACACAACCCTCAACAGGAGTGCTGGGGGACCCAGGTGTTGAGGGCAGCCCTCAGCTACCTGCTGATGTTGATGAAGACAGCTGTGTTCTTCATCTTCTGGAAGAAATCCTTGTTGCAGAGCCCCCTGGTAGCAGGTGTTAAGGAGCAGGCCACTACAATGAAGTCTGACTCTGCAGCCAGCTGAGCAAGAGACACTGGGCGAGGGGAGACTTCATCAGAGGCTGAGTACCAGCCAGGGACAGGAAGATGGCAGCAGAGGCCAACGACAGCAGAGCTTCCACCTCCCACAAAAGAAACTCCTGGGATGCCATGCATGACGGCACACACTAGATATTCCAGAGGCTGAGGCAGGAGGCCTACCTTAACTTGGGGCCAGCCAGAGCTACATAGTGAAACACCTCAGGGGGAGGTGTTCGTCAGTAAACTGCCCACCGGAACAAGCATGAGAACCTGAGTTTGGATTCCCAAGAACCCACCTGAAAATCTGGTTAAGACCATAATTCCAACCCTGGAGGGATGGAGACAGGTGGCTCCCTGGAGCTCACTGGCCCGCCACTCTAGCCACATCAGTGATATCTAGGTTCAGTGAGAGACCACGTCTCAAAAACTATGATGGAGGAGCTGGAGGATGGCTCAGCAGTTAAAACGATCATTAGAGCCAGAGTTCGGGTCCCCGCACCCACATAACACCCTGAGTATGCCTGTAACAGCAGCTTTGAGATGGGCAAAGACAGAGACCAATTGCTAGGACAATTGATGAGAGAACTCGAGGCCTAGGACACATGATGGATGTCTGTGCTCCTGGGGGGCCTTCTGTGTCCCAAGCAGGTAGACACCTCAAGTGCCTGCATTCTGCCTATAAATGACACACACCACCACCACCATCATTGAGCTCAGGAGAAACCAGGACTTTCCTTACCAAACTCCGCCTGGAATTCTGCTGCTTCCTGAGGCCTGGGCTGGCGCCCCGTGTAGAGAAATCTCTGGACACCAAATGGTTTCAGTCGTCGAGCAATGGCCTGACCTAGAGGCAAGGAGTCCACAGCTTGTTCCCACCTTCCAGAGAGCAAGGGCAGGTGACCCTTAGAGGTGGACCCGTGTTCTGTTATAGTGGAGCTGGGCTGCCACAGTGTAACCAATCCTAGGCAGTACACTGTTCTCTAGGATTTGGAGGCAGTGCCATGCGCTGTAGGTGAACTGGCTCACCCTGCTTCACATGGTTGAGTCATCTCGAGGGTCATTTGCTGACTTTCTCCAAGAACTGATGAGGCACCTCCAAAGATAGAGGGTCAAACGGCCCCCTCTCCTGAATTCTCTACTTCTGTGAACACAACCCTACCTCTTGACTTTTGGTAACACTGCCCAGCTGCCAACTTGCCCCCCCCCAAGACTTACAAGAGGTTTTCATGCATGCTATTGTCAACAGGCTTGGACACTTGTGTCTTCGGACCCGGACACGCCCCAGGTTGTTGAACTCCAAGGATTGCTGGCTGACCAGACAGGTTACCTCATTCTCCACCCTCTGGCTGCCTCTGTACATGCAGGATGACAGCACCCTAGCCTCCTACCAGGCTTCTGAAGTGATGTCACTGAAGGGGATGGGACCCTCAGCTGCAACTGAGGGTCCCCTCCTTCCAAAACCTGCCTTCCAGAACCAGGGCCCAGGGATGGTACAGGCTTTCCCCACAGTAAGCGGCTTCCCACAGCTAGCCCAGCACCTTATAGCCTTTATGTTCATTAGCAAACCCAGGAGAACCCTGGGTCTCTACAAATTGCTCCTGTGAGCCAGTGAGTTCTTGGGAACTCTTGAGCTTGTTTTTTTTTTGCTTCACTTAGTCCCACACATGGCCTCTCCCAAGGACACCCACTGTCCAGGCTTAAGGCACTGGAGACTCAACGTAAGGAAAGGTTGGGAGCAGACAGTGGGGGGGGGGGGGGCTCACCTATGCGCCCTAGTCCCACAATGCCAACAGTGCTCTGCGAGAGTCCATAGCCACACATCCATAAGGGGTTCCATGAGTTCCAGCCGCCGCTGTGGGGAGATGGGGTGGTGATTAGCCCACTTTGGGAAAAGACAAGCAGCCATTGGCTGAGCACTCCTGGTCTGAAGCTATGGCTGCCTCCAGGTCATAGGGCAAAAGTGGCTGACAACAAAATGGCTCTTTTGAAGCTAATAAGGGACACAGGAAGTGGGGCCCAAGGGGCCTGCTTTTGTGGACGGGGAAACTTACAGAGGGGTGATATCACTGCTTGAGGCTGCACCACCAGGGAATCGGGAACAGAGGCTGCAAACTTAAGACTCCAGCTTTTCACCCAGAACCCACACACCTAACTGGGGAAATGCTTTTTCCATTGTGCCCAGTGTCCTCAACATGATGACCATGGGCACTGTCGAGAAGGCTCCCTGTCCCTCACACTAAGCACCACGATAGCGTGGTGTGGGCAGCTTTGGCTCCCAAAGCTACTTCCAGTCCTCCAGCGTGTCCACGTCAGCATCGCAGGTGTGCAGCATTACACTGCGTGGCTACGGGATCCACTCCACTGTGCCCAGGCCAGCAGAGTTTGTCCCTCCCTTAGCCTCACCTCTCACGACTTCCCTTCCTGCCCCCTTTAATGGATGAGGCCTGCCGTGTTCTCCCACTAGAGACAGAGAGCAGATCTAAGCCAGGCTGGCTGAGTACTCGAGTACTTGGACCCCGCTGCTTTCCCACCAGGCATCAACTTACTTCTTTACTTCCTCTATGGCCTCTGGCAACCGGCGGCAGGTGGTGAGTAGCAGGGAGACAGCAAGTTCTGCGGTGGCATCTGTCAGGACACCTGGCGTGTAGCCCACCCGGATCCCTCTAGGAATCAAACACCTGGTGGTAACACTGGCCTCAAGCACCTCCACCAGTGTCTACCGATGGATGGGTCACTTCCACTGCCAGGAAGGTCAGAACTGCAAACGGTCCTCATTCTCACCATCGCCCACCATGGGGAGTCAGGGCTTGAGGTCTGGAGTGAGTAGCTACTTAACGGTCCTGATTTCTTCAATGGAAAGGGAAATAATAACCCTTGCCTTTTCTACTTCCAGGGTACCATGGAGATCAGAAGAGGCAGCGAATATAACAGGTGTGGTCAGAGGTCACCCATGGCTTCTAACCTTCCGGGTTTAGGTGGGTTGTGCATGTGTGGATGGTTTTAGCATCTCACGGGGGACACACGACATGAACAGAGAGCCCTTCTTGCCCACTCTGGTTCAGCCCTCACCCCAGTTGTATTTACCGGTTCTTGATTTCATCCAAAGCCAAGTGGTCAACCCCCACTGACAGGGTGCTGATGACTCTGAGGTTGGCTCCTGTTGTACAGAAAACACATGTCTGTCCTCATGGAATTCAAACCATGCTCTGGGGACAATCCCAGGAACACCTACTTATTATTTCTTAGATGAAGGGGAAAGCTGTCATCTCTGCCCCTGGTATAAAGCTGGGTAACCTCTGCTACCTACAGAGGCTCCGGGAGTGTATTGACTCAATCACAGTACAGCTGGGTCTCTCATGACTCTCACTTGTGCCCACCAGTGGCCTTGGGTCTCCTTTACCCACACCAAAGGCCTCCCCCAGACACTCCAGAAGTGCTGTGGTGGCGGTGGCTGGGATGTGATCTCCACACGTGCTCTCCTCTACCACTAAGCATCCAGGTCAAGGCCAGGGGCGGGACTGGTTCTGTATCGAACCTGGCAGCCTCTGGGTCTAAGGCTTTCTTTAAACGGCCGCAGTAGGGTGATGTTCACCCTACCCAGGAACAAAACCTGGGACCGCTGCTGGGCACACACGTGTGCTGGGTGTCTGCAACACACAGGCCCAGAGAGATCCCAAGGTCACAAAGCAAAGCTATAGCACAGCAGGAAGGATCAGAGTCCTCCACTCCCCAGCCCACTCATGCAACACGTGGCCTTTGCCCTCTTGGAGCCTCTCAAGAACCTACAAGCCGGATGGGGGACAGCACGTGCCAGGCGGACCCAGTGCTGGCAGTGTCCTCAGAAAGACAGGGAAAACACTACAGGCCCGCTCAAAGGCCAGTGTAGCAAGCTGGTGTGCTCACAGGCAAGATGCCCTTCAGAATTCTTCCCAGGCAGGCTCTGCACATACCTGCAGCATCCAGAAGTTTCTGGTCCACACGGTCAGTGAGGCGGCAGAGCAAGCCATGGACCCCCACCACGCTTTGCTCCAGTTTCTTTCTGGGGATGGGTTCATCCGAATCCCACTGCTCCACCTCACAGCTGAAAGCAAGGGAAGCCACTCAGAGGATGCAGGGAACCTCCTGGATGCTACAGCAAGTACAGCTGGCAAACATGGTCCTCTACCTGCTATGGCTTTAGGCTGGCCAAAGCTAAGGTCGGGTACGGGGGAGCTCAGAACTACTGGGAATGTAGTTGGAGCAGGGGATGAAGGGCTGCCAGGATGGGGGAAGCTGACAAGAGCTGAGCCCCCTCCCCCCCAGGACAGAGCAGAACTTAAGCAGAAAAGGGGGGATGCCCTAGGTATCACTCTCAACCGGAGAAAGAGCTCTCTCCTATTCACAGTGAGTCTCCAGGCAGCCAGCTGTGGAGAAAGCTGGGGGGAGGGGAGAGGGCCTACATCAGATAAACAGCTTATCTTCAATGAACAGTTGCAGTTCTAAGTTCACAAAATACAAAACTTTGCTCTGTGGACTCGCCAGCTCTAGCGTGCTACCTTAGCAGCCCCATTGAATTCAGAGCAGCCCCGGTGTATGCACAGGAGGTACAGGACAGTGGCTGGCAGGTCCCCAGGTCCACTTGTCCCAGAACTTCAAGACCAAAAGTCCCAACAGAACATATCCTTAGGAGAAGTTTGTACTATGCTGGAAAAAAATTCAAAACAAACCACATACCCCTCCTCCAACCGTGAGAACTGACTGCATACAGGGTCACACTGTCTCCCAAACTGGCAACAGTAGCGCAAAGCTGTTAAGTAGAAGTGATCAGACTACAGCGGGCAGGATTGAGTATAAAGGCTGAGTGACGGAGGGCCAAGATATGAACCCATCTAGCCCGTGTTTTCAGTTCGGTGATGTAGGAATTCTGAGGCTGACTTCACAGTGTTGGGGGACTGAAAGTTTGTGTTCACAGCTCCTGGCCAGGCTAGCGACCACAGAAGGTTAAAAAAAAAAAAAAAAAAAAAAAAAAGTCAAAAGGCCCTGTGGACCATCCAAGGAGCCAAGCCAATTACTGTCACAGTCCCTGACTCCTCGCGCCTGCCAGCTAATCTCAGAGGGTGAAATCCTTAGTCTGGACCTTGCCTCCTGAAGGCTGGAGACCAATAGCCTGGAGCAAGCTCACCCGGGGGAAGTTTTCTCTAAGAAAACTCCAAACCCACCGGCTGCGGACACAGCTGGCAGCACCTGAACAAAGCTCCCAAGCTCCAGGCCCAGCCTCTCAGGTCCCGGCTCCATCTCTCCCGTCTGCCCAGGCACCGGGGTCTTGGGGCAGCTCCGGAAGCACCAGCGGCGTCCCTGGAGACAGCCAAACCACCTGAGCAGGCGCAGGGGAGTCTGAGGTTTGGGGACACCCGCCGGGTGGACCGGGCAGGGGGCCGGAGGGTCGGCGGCAGCCCCGATACAGACGCGGGCGCTTACTCTGCGGCCTTGGTGAGAGCAGCCATGCCCTCGGCGGGCAACGGGCCAGTGACGAAGACCTTCATGAGTCGTGCCAGTTTCATAAGACCCGCAGCAGCAAACGCGAACCAGCCTGGCCTTGAGCAAGGCGACGGCGACGGAAGTGGGGGCGGGGTCGGAGGCGGGACTCTCAGCCACCCAGTGTGGGTGGGGCCGTGGCTCCCGAGACTGATTGTCCAGAAAAAGAGCAGTGTGTTCCGTGTGCTTACTGAAGAGGGACCTGTGTGAGTAGCTGTGGATATGAGGGTTTCTCTGAGTATGCTGTCAGAATGAGGAGGGGCGAAAGCCCTGATGAACCATGCTAGATTATTTCAGCCACACTGTCCCAGACAGAGGCCTCTGATTAAACACACCAAACTCTAAGCCAAGCCTGGCCTGCATACTCTCGGGAGGCTTGGGGAGATGGTCTGAATCCAGGTATTATACCTTTAATACTTAGGATAATTCCCTGCATGAAATCCACAACTGTGGTGTGGAATTTAACCCATCACAGGTGGCACAGGTGGGTTGGACCCCTGCTGCCCCGCTGGAGGCAGTTCCTGAGCAAGGTGGCGGGTCAGGCAAGCATGCTGGGTCAAGGGTAGAACCGGGGCTTGCAGTTGGATGGGACTGAATCCAGATCTTGGCTCTAACCCTTCTCTTCTGGGATGCTTACCTTGATGAAATGAGCCCTAATCTGCACTACCATCCCTACTTCAGGCACATGAAGAGGATAACACTTCCATTGAAGGTTGTTTTTAGTACTGAACAGGGGTGCTTAGCCTAGGGGGATTTGGAGCTCAAGATGTGATGCCTAGCTGCCTGGGGCTAAAGGTCAGCTCCACCACCAAGAGCAATTATTAAACTTCTGTGTGCCTCAGTTTCCTCATTTGTAAGGTGGGCATTGTGCATGCCTCTTGGCTTGTTGAGAGATAAGTATGTACTGTGCTAATAACAGAGACACTGAGCAAGGTGTGCTGATGTGTGCTTATAATTCCAACATTCAGGAGGTAGAGGCAGGGTTGCAAGTTCAAGGCCAGCCCAGATTATAGCAAGTGATACAGATCCTGAAGGCAGTGTAGGACCAGCTCAGGGCCCCCAGGCCTCTTCATCAGCTCTGCAGGCTGCTTAGTGACTCATTCTCAGGCCTGGGAGGGCCCTGAGGGCAGCACAGTGGTTTCTTCACTGATTTTATGGGGATCCACAAGGGCTCTAGTAGATAATGTGCACAGGGTTGACAGATGTCAACTGGGCCACCTGGGGCATGTAGCCCCAGCTGGCCTCTAACCCACTACATAGCAGAAGATGTTTTGCTCCCATCTGGGTTTGTGCCAAGGCTTTTCTCTGCTACCCCAACCCTAAGTAACACATTAATAAATGTCTCTCTACTGTTCTTTGTGTTTGTCACTTGGCCACTGCAGGGAAAGGAAAGGTCCTGAGATTTGACAAACATTGACACAAGAAGGTGCTTCTGTGCCCCCAGGACAGGCCTCCTGGGGAAGCTTGTGGCTCTGGGCAACTCTCTCTACACAATGAGGACAGGCAAGGGCAGTGGGCACTAGACAAGCATGTCAACAGGGGTCATGGGTTCCTCCCTCAGGGTAAAGCATCCAGTTGACATTAGGAAGGTACTACAGGCTGGTGGGGTGGGGAGGTATGACAAGCAAGTTCTATAAGAATGAAAACAACACAAAGCCAGCCCAGGGCCCTGGAACTGGCTCTCTGCTTCAGAGGCTAAAGCCGATGAGCATTGGACATTGATGCTGTTTAAGCTCAGGGCGCCATGCCAAACACTTTCCATGGGAACACCCTAGTCACACTGTTTCCCCAATCCCTAGAAAGCTGAGGGCAAGAGTGGGAGAAGCTGTTGAAGTCACATAGCCACTAAGAGGCAGAACTTGGACCAAGCCCTCACCTTGGCTCTAGATACCAGGTCTTCACCACCCCGAAAGTGTCGTAGGAGGCCCGTACAGGGTGCTGGGGAAGGGCAGCTTTTCCCACAGTCTTGGGCGAACTCTTGCAGGAGCAGCATTGGGATTAAAATCCAAAGGTGGGCATCAGGAGGTGATGGGGAATGCCCAGTGCCTGGGGTGCCCTTGGCAGAGGCCAGGAGGGGCTTATGGCCCTAAAGCTCAGGGTGTAGTGGGCTGATGCTGGCATTTCAAGGTCCTGAAACAGGAGCCTAGGGACACTTGGCCACCACTAAGGCATTGGGAGGAAACAAGTGTGTAACCACTCAACGACAGTAAGTATGGCTTTATATCTTGTTTATACAGGTTAACGACTGACATCTGACCCAGTGTGGTGGTGCATGCCTTAATCCCAGTACTCAGGAGGCAGAGGTAGGCAGATCTATGAGTTCTAGGCCAGCCTGCTCTATAAGAGTGAGTTTTGGGACAGCTGGGGCTACACAGAGAAGTCCTGTCTCAAACAACAACAAAACCAACCGTCATCTGCCAGCACTGCCATCCACCAGCACCGGGAGTGGGGAGTAACTCATCATCCACCTGCAAATGCATCAAATGCAGAAACATCGGACACATGAGCCTCTCACACTCATCAGGTGAACCACTCACCTGAGACTATGAACGGAGGACCCCAAGACTGAAATGTGACCGGCATCCTGACTAGTCTCCTGGTTACTCACCGTGAGCCTCATCTAGGAAACTGTCACAGTGGAAAACTCTGTCCTTGGACACCAGTTTAAGCACAATTTCTCCTGCCCATGACACCCAAGCTGCCTCAAACTGACCTTCAAAGCAGCCTGCCACCTGACAGGTTACTTACATCACTGTGCCCCTGAAGCTCCTAAGACTTCCTATCTGGCCCTCTGTAGACAGACATTTCCCGATATCTGTGTCAGCTCTCTGATGCCAGCTGCAGGTCAGCCAGTATGAACTCTGAACTCACTTCAACCCCTTGTCACCTGCATACGTAACTGTGGGATGTAATGTGTTGAAGTAGAAAGACTGGGGCCACTGGAGAGGAGGCTGAGTCAGGACTGTCATGAGACTGAGGCCAGCCTGGGCTATGGAGTGAGTTCCTGGCCAGCCTGAGACACGGCATGGGACCCTGCCTCAAAAAGGAAGGAAGCAAGCAAGGAAAAAAGAAATAAAGATCAGAATGAAAGGACCTATTATAAGGATTCAGGCATTATGCTGGCCTGCCCCTGTCACAAGGCAGAATGCACTCAGGCAGTACTCTGGTCAGCCCAGGGGTCCATGAGTAGTAGTCTGCGGGCAGGTGTAAAGGACCCCTTTAAAAGTTAGACCCCTGCCCACTTATGCTCTCTTTCGCTCTCTCCTACTTTCGGTTGGTCACCAGCTACCCCCCCCCCTTTTCTTCTCTCCCCCTCTCTCCTCTTCTGTTCCCGGTGCCTCTATGTCTCTTCCCTTTCCCATCATTCCCCTTTCTAAATAATCTCCTCATTCAAGCTCTATCTGCCTGGCGAGTTATTCCCACCTGCCTCAGTCACCCTCACCTGCTATGCAAGCTGCTATGCTCTCCCCACTCACTTGGAACCCTCACTGGGGACCTCCCCACCCCTTCTCCAGCCTTTATTCTTATAACTGTAACAAAAGAACAACACCTATGATCACCAAAGGCCAGCTATCCTTGAAAATGGGAGTTAATTGGCAACGTGAAGCCAACAAAACTGACGTAACTTGTGAGTTTGTTGTCAATCAGTAAGTTCTGACACTGGGGAAAGACGTGGCTTGCTCGTTTAAGCTTCTAACATACTAGAAACGCTCTGCTCTGTTAGGGCTATGTTGAGTCTATGGCTCATCATGGGACCTTTCCCAGATGGCTAACAAGTTACTCAATAGCAACAAAGTTTGTGTAAACACAAAACAAATGTATAAGAAACAGTGGCCCATGATACAGAGGCATTGGGGCAAAAATCATCTCTCTTGCCCTGTCCTCCAATCTTTCCCTGACTATGGCCTCTTCCCAGAGGCTGGTACTATTTGTAGTTTTCTCTACAATTCTTTTAGAAGTGTTTGTGCCAGGTGGTGGTGACAAATGCCTTTAATCCCAGTACTCAGGAGGCAGAGGCAGGTGGATCTCTGAGTTCAAGGCCAGCCTGATCTACAGAGCTAATTCCAGGACAGCCAGGGCTGCACACAGAAACTCTGTCTCAATAAGACAAACAACAACAAAAGAAGTGTCTAATTTGTATATAAGTGTATGTGTATAATTCAGGACAAGTAGCTGGCTCAGCAGGGTCTGAGTTCAATCCCTGAAATACACAGCAGCAGGAGAGAGCCAACTCCTGAAATTTGAGACTTGTCCTCTGACATCTACATACTTGTTAATACGCATGCATGCACAAGCACACACACACACACTTTAAAGGACATGCATACATTCATTTGCATGAATGGGAAATGCTTTTCCCTGAACAGAAGAAACATCTTTGGAGTTATTCCACACCAGTCGCATGGCCCTGCCTCTTCTCTCCTACCCCCCCAGATTGGAGATTTATCCCAGAGTCATACAAACCGGATAAGTGCTCTGCCGTTGAGCTATATACCCCAGCATCCTTTAACATTTTATTTTGAGACATCGTCTTAATAAGTTGCCCTGGCTGGCCTTGAACTGGTCAGCCCCCTGCCTCACTCTGGCAGTAGCTGGGACTAGGCCTGCATCACCCCGCCAGGCTCTCTCTATCAGTGCAGAACTACACTGTAGGAGTGTGCCCTTAACAAGAAACAGCCCTGTGGATGGATGCTGAAGTTGCTAATGATGCTATAATGAAGAGCTTCTGACACATGTGAGTTCTGTGATGGCTAAAGAAACTCCATTTTATGCTGGACATCCATCTTGGTACCCACAAGCCACTGACTCCAGTCCCTGGAAGCCAAGTTCCTAGTAATCCTGACGCAGTGACCCCCAACCAAGTGTACAGCTGTGACCATCTACTTGCTACGTTATGACTAATCACTTTTTGACTTCTGCAAGCTGCTTATGCAGAACTCAAGGACTATTTTGAGGTTGCCTTGACTACCTAATCATGGCAGAGCTGGACAGCCCCTGGCTTTCTTGTGCAGATGTACAATGTCTTCTCGTGGTTTTTGCCTTTAAAAATCCTCCCCTCTCCTCCCTTTGGACAGCAATCTCAAGTTTGCTTCAGAGAC